TTAGTTAGTCAAAGTTAGTCAATATTTGCTTATTCAAGTGGCACAAGTGTTGTTCTAGTGTGGGACATGGCATTTGTATGTATCACGTATCAGTCTGTTTCAGTTTGAAAGAACAGGAAAGCTGGATAGACATAGTAGAGTGCCCTGTGGGGGTCCTGATCATGTTGTTCCTGCCTGCAGGTCTGTGTGGCAACTTCAACAGCAACCAGGCGGATGACTTCCTGAAGCTCAGTGGGGTTCCAGATGCCACAGCAGCTGGTTTTGTCAACAGTTGGAAGACACATGCTGGTTGCCGCGATGTTAAGAGCAGCTTTGAGAACCCTTGCAGTCTTAGTCTGGAAAATGGTTTGTCTGACTCTTTCCACTCTTTGCTGACACTTTGGGTTCTTCAGAATGTCTGATGTTGGTCCTGTTTTGTCACCGACAGAGAGATACGCCCAGCACTGGTGCTCAATGCTGAGTGAGCCTGAGGGAGTGTTTGCCTCCTGTCACTCAGAGATCAGCCCTGACTCTTACAAAGAGGTGAGTCTCACTGTTTCCTGTGGACTGTTACTAGACCAGTCTCCAGGCCTGTCACATGACCTCACACTGCCCTGCCTTTTCCGTTCCGTCTCCTCCCAGAACTGCATGTATGACAGCTGTAACTCTGAGAACAGTGAGGACTGCATGTGTGCTACAGTCTCCGCCTATGTCCATGCCTGTGCAGCTGCAGGGATCCACCTCAGCGGCTGGAGGAACACCATCTGTGGTGAGCACTGAGTAACTGGAGCAGAGTCAAACCCACGTGTTGCATCAGTATGGAAGCATTGAATCTGAGAGCATGATGACAATACAAGTGATCTTACTGCTTTTAATATTGTATTGTAGAGCAGTCTGCTCTTTTTTGATAACAGCAGATTATTGCTAAGGATGCTTTGATCAAGAGACCATTTGCATTTATATTAATCAGCAGAAAGAAGTCTGGTCAATTTAACCTCAGCTGTGGCCAATACAAACATTAGTTTTTCTCCATCAGAAAACACAGAGTAATATTTTATATATTTGTGGAGAACAAGAAACTTTAAATTCCCCCAGTGAAAAAATGAATAGAACAAGAACAGGAACCAAACACAGAAGAAGGTATGGAGTTGAAAGACATAGTGCTGGACGAGAGAGAAATCAGCAGAAGAGCAAGACAGGAACACAGTATGGGCTCTATCAGTGTTTAAAGACTGGTTACCTGAAAATAAAATGTGAACAGTTCCCGAGAAATCTCCATAAACACCTCTGTCAGTTCTGCCATCATTTAGGTAACGTCGCAGTAGACGCTGTTAGTGCAATTAATGTCTCACCAACTTTAAATGTTAACACAGAGAGAGAGAGATCAATAAAACACAAATACAGATATGGTTGAGATGAATTATTATTCAGTTGCGCAACAACAAACAATAAAGAGGTACATCACCTTGCTTCAACAGCAACCAATCGCGGAAATGCCCCATGGAATACAAGTTTCCCCCAGCATTTATAGGATTCTAAAATGACGCACCCTCATTGTATCATGCAGCCAACCACACGAACGTCACATGTTTTCTCTCTGAATGCCATACTTGTATATGTCCCAGATATTAAAAGGTCATTATCTCATGACGTCTTTAGGAGTGATTAACAAAGACTTAACTGTATTATCTAATCAGCGCCTCTCTGCACTTCCTCTGACCTCAGCATCAGCTCACTTTAATGATGTAACTAACTATGTTAATAATCCACTAATAACCAGCAAAAGGGGGTTGTAACTCTGTTGTTGCTTGGACCCTTAACCAAAACCATTAGCAGGAAAACACATCCAACAACCTAAAGCCCTGCAGCAAAACTACAACGAGATCTTGCTGTGACATTGTAGCACAACGGGCTAAAAAACACTGGCCTTTTAAACGTCTTCACGTGGCCGGCACTGACTCTGCTGTGTCCTCCTCAGGGAAATATGCCAGCTCGTGCCCCAGCAGCATGGTGTACTCGGACAGCATCACGACCAGCAGCCACACCTGCCGCTGCCTCGGCTCCACGGACCTCAGCTGCCACGCGTCCTTCCCCCCCATTGACGGCTGTGTCTGTGCACAGGGAACCTACCTGGATGACACCGGGAAGTGTGTTCCATCTACGGCTTGTCCCTGTTATGACGAAGGCTCAGTGGTGCCTCCTGGAGAGGTCGTTAACAAGCAAGGGGTCATGTGGTACGTAAAGCTTTTGTTATTTTGGATATTGTTATTCCAGGCATGTGTATGGGATTTGGTAGGATGAAATGATTCCCCATATTATCCCTTAATGCATCTGCAAACAAACTGATATGTTTGCACTTCAAATAATTGTGAATTATACGGGAACAGGTATTGTATGCCAACTGGTCCTAAACATTATGGCTGTAGTTCCTTTGTGCCAGCTCTGGATCTTCTCTCCTTTCTTTCGGGCTTGAGAGGAACAAATTAATGTTTATCTCTGACATATCTGGAAAAAGGGAGAATTTCACAAATGTTTAAAGTGTGCACTGCAGTGTTATATAAGTGTATGTATATTCATGAGTTGTTATATTCCTCCTCTAGCTCCTGTAAGGACGGTAAACTGGGCTGCATTGGGGAGATGATTGTACAGCCATGTAAGTAACACAATAGAAACACCTGAAAGGGAGTGTTGCCTTACTTCCTGATGGTAGCTTTTGAAGTGAAATGGCAGAGCAGTTGTTTTTAAGCATCTAAGAGAGAATAGGACTTCATCCAGCTGTGACAGGTTTCAAGCATTTGATATCCCTTTCAGATTTAGAGCCTTGGAAAGTTGCTGTCTGCCAACATAGGTCATCATTTTCACTTGTTTTATATTTGAAAATACTAACCCGGTTTATGACAATTTCAAAGAATATACTGATCACTAACACTCTCTGAGACTGAGCTGTTTAGGGGGTAATGATCTCATGTATGTGTTGGGTCAGGTAAAAGACAGCAGGGAAAAGCTTGCTTAGCTCTGATCAAAAAGACCTACCAACACCTATAAAGCTCATTTGTTTAATGTGACCGAGAAATAATGTGGGAAGCTGCACACAGTCACTGTGACCACACACAACTGCCTCTAGAACCACTATCACTGTTACCGTTATGTTTGTGTACAGCGTTTCAACACACAAGATACAGCCTGAACTTTAGATGTGTTCTTCAGATCAAGACAACATACAGGCAAAATGACAAAAAGTCTAGGGAAAATATGTACAAGTGGACAGTTTGCATCACAAATACTAAAACAGAGCGATTTGCCGCTTAGACAAAAGAATAAAACGCTACGTCCCATCTGCTGTACTTTCTATACTGGAGGCCATAGCTGATGGTAATCATATAACTGCAGTTAGGGTGACGATATACGGAGCCCCTACAGGGACATGAGATACTCTGGCTGTGTGTTAGAGTGATGGGGCTTGTTTACATGTAAAATAATACATTTTATATTATATCTTGATAACAAAAATAGTCCATCAACAAGGCACCATTAATCAAGGTTATCTTGGTTGTCAGAAAAACAAGTTTATGCAAGATGTTGCATAAAATCAGGGCAACAGTAGTAATAGAAAGAAAGAAACCAAGATTCATTTTAGAATGAAGTATAGTCATTTCAGATATGTCTTTTCTTAGCAGCCTGTGCTCTTCCTATGGAGTTTTTCAACTGCTCTGCTGGTCCAGCTGCTAAAGGAACTGAGTGTGAGAAGAGCTGCAACACATTAGACATGGCCTGTGTGAGTCACCTTTTTCCCAACATAGAGGAACATTTATCTGCAAATACATTACTGGTTTATATGGATCAAATATTTGGATAATCAAAGTAAAATATACAACTGTAAGTTTGACAACTTCTGCAGGTGTCCACTGGGTGCGTGTCCGGGTGTATGTGTCCATCTGGGATGGTGTCTGATGATAAAGGAGGCTGCATCAAGCCAGACGCCTGCTCCTGTGTTCACAACGGCATCTCCTACCAGCCTGGAGAGAGCACCAAGGTGGACTGCAACACCTGGTAGGTGAATCCCAAGTGGAGGGAACGGCTTTTACTTGAGTTTTTTGGTTACACCTTCATCTTTGAGTGACACGTACAATGAGAAGTCCAATCTCTCTCTTTACAGCATTTGTAAAGACAGGAAGTGGCAGTGCACTACAGAGGCGTGTGATGGGACCTGCTCTGTCTACGGAGCAGGACACTACATGACCTTTGATCAGAAACGCTTCACCTTTGATGGCAGCTGTGAATACATTCTCACTCAGGTATAAATTCACTCACAAACAAGAGATAGAACAGATTAATGCACTTGTGGTAAATATGTTATAACTAACCCTATCCCACAAAAGGTTTTGGTAAGCTGCAGAAAACCAAAGATATATGCCTTAATGTTGAATGGGCTTGCTTCATTTCACGAGACAAGACCGACAGATAAACACTCCAACATCTTAAATTCACATTAAATTATTATTAGGACGGGTCAGTGATGTGAATCAGGAGTGCTTTTTGAGGAACCACCATTCTTTGAATGTGTTGCTGTAGGCTTGTAGAGTTATTTCAAACCACTGTGACCTCCCTGCTTCCTTAACTGTCCCTGTCAGTTCGTTCAAAGAACATATCCCTGACAAAGGAGAGAACGGGAGTCGAGCAGGGCCACTCATATTGATGACTTTTTTCTGTGTGTGCGTGTGTGTGCCTTCCTCAGGACTACTGTGGCAGTGCACAGAGTAATGGAACCTTTAGAGTTATCTCTGAGAATCTTCCTTGTGGAACCACAGGAACCACCTGCTCCAAGACAATCAGGATCTTCCTAGGGGTAAACAATCAAATATCCATCCATCTGTGTCTGTCTCTCTGTAATGTATCTATATCAACAATACAAATCTGTCCTTTTCTATAGAATGCAGAAGTGATTCTAACAGAGGGACGCTACCAGCTGCTTTCAAGTGGAGATGAACATTCAGTTCCATTCCGTTACAGCACTATGGGCATCTATCTAGTAGTTGAAGCCAACAATGGACTCATTCTCATGTGGGACAGAAAGACCAGCTTGTTCATCCAGCTAAGCTCAAAATATAAGGTACCGCCGGATACATGTTTTTGGTCTTGTTGTCACAAAAATTGATTAATTTGGATATTTAAGCCGACAGCCATGACATAAGGACCTCTACCTTTTCAGGGTCGCGTGTGTGGCCTGTGTGGCAATTATGACGGCAATGCAAATAATGACTTCACAACAAGGGGCAATGCTGTGGTGGTCAACCCACTGGTGTTTGGAAACAGCTGGAAGGATTTACCCAGTTGCCCCGACGCTCAGAGCATTAGCAGCCCCTGCACAACCAACCCATACCGACAGGCCTGGTCGCAGAAACAGTGCAGCCTTATACAGAGTGACGTCTTCTCCGCCTGCCACTCCACTGTAGGTTGTTGATGAGACCATGTTAGACTATTCATGAGCTTTCCTTTTCAGCCTGCTGGCCCAAAGGTTGTCCCTGTTAGGAAGACAGCACATAACCTACTGATTATGCTATATAAAGTGTCTTCAAACATGGACATGTTTACACCTTTATCAGGATCATTCAATGACCGACTGTTGGAAGATTTATCCAGATCCTTTACTCATGTTAAAGTAGCAATGCCACACTGTAAAAATACCATTACAAAAAAAGGAGTGCAGAAATATACTTGGAAAAGAATAGCATTTTTCTTCCATTATTGTATAATAATATTATTTTTTTGTAGGTGGATCCAACTCCATACTATGATGCATGTGTGTTTGACTCCTGTGCTTGTGACACGGGTGGAGACTGTGAGTGTTTTTGCACTGCTGTGGCTGCTTATGCTGAATCCTGTAATCAAGCTGGAATCTGTATACCATGGAGAACTCCAAAGATCTGTCGTGAGTATCTAAGATGAACAATCATTTAAGGCAATAGACAAAATAAATCAGGGTTGCATAAGGTAACAAGCAAAGTTATTTTAGATAAATACATACCTATCAAGATCACTCAGGTAAAAAAGGGTTTGCTGGATATTATAACCTTTGTCAGTGAGGGCTAAAAACTTTATATCACTGGAAAAATAACAAGATATTCATCAAACACCTTCATGATATATTTTCAAATAATAGATAACTTCTTTATTATTTAAGCAGCATCAAATATGAGGCACAGGCTAGCAGGGGTGGTAACCATGTGAACTAGCAGTCTTCACCGCAAGTCTCTGCCCCCTACCTTGCAGTAAGCAAAGAGCAAATCCCTTATCAAGTAGAGTCAGTTTGATCCTCTTGACTAAAAGTTTGGTTATAAAGCCCAAAATTACAGATTTTACATTTGTCTCAGGTATACAAATACGGTATACGAATACGACAAATTTGACCGAGTGTCATCCAGCAAAGTCCTGATGGGGGCTTCTATGCAAGACACTTGGATATAAGGTTTTTGAAGTAAACTGCTGCCAGATGCCTGTCTGAAAACACTTACTTACAAGAAACAAGTTACTGTATTATTTTAGGTATATCCTTGATCATTCAAAAAATACTACGAACAAATTATAATATCTGCAGTATTTTCCAGATTGGTTTTGAAAGATTGAAAACAAGGCCTTTCAAAGAGTTGTAATTAAGATTGGGTTATGGGTTACTTACTAGGCTTAAGTAAAAGATGGCTGGACCCTACCTTCTTGGCCTGTGCCTCAAGGAACATGAGTATAAATATAACCTGGCAGGGTGGATTGATTGCACTGTTGTAACACAACACCAAAAATAACTATATATTAATAAACAACGTTTATATGTTTAATAAGTCTTCTGATTAGTTTTGCATTCTATATTTTAAACTCTGGTTGGTTATGGATAAAGTTGTCTAATCAACTTAATTCTAGATCCATAGTGGGATATATGGCTTCTTTTCTAATCAGACAAGGCGTTTCCTAGAGATAACCAGATCATCAGCTGGATACCACATCGCCAGCCAGCTTGGGACCAATGACATTAGGCTGAACTTCTGATCACTGGTCGGACTTGATGAGAGAAAACTTCGGAGACCAATATTATCTTTGCATATTTACACAACTACTCAGCATTAACTTAAGACGTTCAATTGACGTATTGATCATTCTATGTTTCTACTTATTCGTAGCCAGTATTTAAATAGTACAGCCATACTTTTAATATCATCAGTACTCTCTCTGAGAAGTCCAGTCTGGAATATCTATACTAAGTGTAATTTTATTTTCCAGCTCTCTTCTGTGATTACTACAATCCCCCTGGAGAATGTGAATGGCACTACATGCCATGCGGATCTCCTTGTATGAAAACCTGCAGGAATCCATCAGGCAGCTGCTCTCCACAGATTCCTCCTCTTGAAGGTAAGTTAAGCTTTTTATAACTTGACATAACCCCAAAAACACATTCAAGATTGAAGATCTCTGATTGAACGCATTGTCCCTTTAAATTGGCTGGATTTCTCAAAAGTTCTTTATTTAAAAGTTGTCGTTCAACCACAATGCCAGGTTAAAGTATCAAAAAAACACTTAATCTGGTTGTACCCATGAATCGGCAAATATTCCAACATGACCATTTGTTTGTTTTTAATTAGGTTGCTATCCAAAATGTCCTCCTGCTCAGCCATACTTTGATGAAGATACTATGACATGCGTTTCAAAAGAACCATGTGGCTGCCGCGATAAAGAGGGGAGATACTATAATAATACTGACAAAGTGCCAACAACCGAAAACTGTCTTACATGGTAAGTCTTGCATATAATACATGTCCCAGTCAAGGATGTATGGGTTTGTTGCAGGTTCAAATTAAATGAAAACAATATTATTGTCAGTAATATTTTCTGTTTTTTTTCTTGTAGTAACTGCAGTTCAACGACCATCCAATGCTTTTACGATGCCCAAGGTATGCTAAAAGTTTGGAGAGATTGAGGGTTGTAAAAATATATAAATATGTCAAGTAACTGGGAGGCTGTGGCTCAGTGGGATAGTGCGCTGAACTTAGTGCGCTGAATTTTGAATCAGGGGATAGCAAGTTCGAGTCCCACTGCAGTTAGCATGTTGTTGTGTCCCTGGGCAAGACACTTCACCCCAAATTGCTCCTGTGGGGATTGCCCACAGTACTGAATGTATGTAAGTCGCTTTGGATTGGCGTCTAACAAGTGACATGTAATGTAATGTAAAAGTAACTATGTTAACAAAACATATTATCTTTTTACAGCCTGTACTTGCACATATTTGAATAAAACATATTACCCTGGCAATACCATCTATAACACAACAGATGGGCATGGTAACTGCTTCATAGCAGTGTGTGGGACAAATGGTACCATTGACAAGGGGTCATATTTATGCCCAGTACCAACACCAACAACAACTGTAAGCACATCTACAGCAAGCCAGTCTTCAACCACCTTTGTTTTTACAACCACACCAGGTATGCGCAACATCCTTTTTTTCCAAAACTGAAGTCATATTCAGCTGTATCGTGTAAGATATACTAAATAACCTGCCCACTTTGATGTATGTCCCATATAGTTACAGTCCCATGCAATCCCTGTGAATGGTCCCCATGGTATGATACTAGCTTCCCAACTCTTGGAACTCCAGGAGGAGACAGTGAAACTTATGACAAGATTAGAGAGGCAGGGCACAAGATATGTGCCAAGCCAAGCGAGATCCAATGCAGAGCTGAGAAATTCCCAAATGTCTCCATTGACAGTGTTGGACAAGTGGTACAATGTGATCTGGCTAAGGGGCTCACATGCAGAAATGAAGACCAGTCGGGACCACTGGCTTTGTGCTTCAACTACCAAGTCAGAGTTCTGTGTTGTGACTATAGTGCATGCCCAACAAAGCCTACTCCTTCTATGACACCTTCAATCTCAACCACAAAGCCCCATATAATAACTACAACCAAACATGTTACAGAAACACCTTGTCAGGAAACGTTATGCCAATGGTCAAAATGGATAAGTTCTGACTACCCTGAAGATGGTAATGGGGGTGGAGACAATGAAACCATCAAACACATCATTCAGAAAGGATTTAACATCTGCGAGGATCCAGTGGCAGTGGAATGTCGTGCTGCGGAATATCCAACAGCTCCCCTTTACCAACACGTGACATGTAATAAACAAGGACTCCTGTGCAAGAACAATTTACAGTATCCTCCCATATGTCTCAATTATGAAATAAGGGTAAAATGTTGCAGAACAGTTCAATGCAGCACAACACCACAAACTACTATTACTTTCACACCGACATCACAAAAAACACCTACCACTACAACCACCAAGCCTTCAACCACAACTGAAACAACAACACCCTCAACTCCCTCCACCACAGTAACAACTACGACACCCTCAACTCCTTCCACTACAGTAACAACTACAACACCCTCAACTACTTCAACTAAAGTACCAACTACAACACCCTCAACTCCTTCCACCGCAGTAACAACTACAACACCCTCAACTCCTTCCACTACAGTAACAACTACAACACCCTCAACTACTTCAACTAAAGTACCAACTACAACACCCTCAACTCCCTCCACCACAGTAACAACTACGACACCCTCAACTCCTTCCACTACAGTAACAACTACAACACCCTCAACTACTTCAACTAAAGTACCAACTACAACACCCTCAACTCCTTCCACCGCAGTAACAACTACAACACCCTCAACTACTTCAACTAAAGTACCAACTACAACACCCTCAACTCCTTCCACAACAGTAACAACTACAACACCCTCAACTACTTCCACTAAAGTACCAACTACAACTCTCTCAACTCCTTCCACCACAGTAACAACTACAACACCCTCAACTACTTCCACTAAAGTACCAACTACAACACCCTCTACTACAGTACCAACTGCAACACCATCAACTCCATCAACAACAGTTACAGCCTCAACACCTTTGAGTCCAACAACTACTACACCTTCTACCACAACTGAAACAACAACATCTCAGCCAACTACAACTGCACCTTGTCCTGGTGGACATGATATGACATGTGGTTGGTCAGAATGGATCAATCTGGGAGAGCCAACCACAGGCCCAAATGGTGGAGATGATGAATCAATCCAGAAAATAATCTCTGATGGCTATCATATATGCTCAGCTCCTGAAGAAGTCCAGTGTAGATCTGTTCTTTACCCAGGTCTTCCTATGTCAGAGATGGGACAAACTGTGACTTGCAACAAAGATGTCGGTTTAATTTGCAACAACAAACAACAGGGGCTTCAGCAACAGTGTTTTGATTATGAGATTAGATTTCAATGCTGTGGGTGTCAAACACCTTCCACTACAGGGCCTACTACACCCTCAACGCCTTCCACTACAGTTCCAACCTTGACACCTTCAACTACAACCACCACTACACCTTCTACCACAACTGAAACAACAACATCTCAGCCAACTACAACTGCACCTTGTCCTGGTGGACATGATATGACATGTAGTTGGTCAGAATGGATCAATCTGGGAGAGCCAACCACAGGCCCAAATGGTGGAGATGATGAATCAATCCAGAAGATAATCTCTGATGGCTATCATATATGCTCAGCTCCTGAAGAAGTCCAGTGTAGATCTGTTCTTTACCCAGGTCTTCCTATGTCAGAGATGGGACAAACTCTGACTTGCAACAAAGATGTCGGTTTAATTTGCAACAACAAACAACAGGGGCTTCAGCAACAGTGTTTTGATTATGAGATTAGATTTCAATGCTGTCCGTGTCAAACCCGTTCTACTACAGGACCTACTACACCCTCAACGCCTTCCACTACAGTTCCAACCTTGACACCTTCAACTACAACCACCACTACACCTTCTACCACAACTGAAACAACAACATCTCAGCCAACTACAACTGCACCTTGTCCTGGTGGACATGATATGACATGTGGTTGGTCAGAATGGATCAATCTGGGAGAGCCAACCACAGGCCCAAATGGTGGAGATGATGAATCAATCCAGAAGATAATATCTGATGGTTATCATATATGCTCAGCTCCTGAAGAAGTCCAGTGTAGATCTGTTCTTTACCCAGGTCTTCCTATGTCAGAGATGGGACAAACTGTGACTTGCAACAAAGATGTCGGTTTAATTTGCAACAACAAACAACAGGGGCTTCAGCAACAGTGTTTTGATTATGAGATTAGATTTCAATGCTGTGGGTGTCAAACACCTTCCACTACAGGGCCTACTACACCCTCAACGCCTTCCACTACAGTTCCAACCTTGACACCTTCAACTACAACCACCATTACACCTTCTACCACAACTGAAACAACAACAACATCTCAGCCAACTACAACTGCACCTTGTCCTGGTGGACATGATATGACATGTAGTTGGTCAGAATGGATCAATCTGGGAGAGCCAACCACAGGCCCAAATGGTGGAGATGATGAATCAATCCAGAAGATAATCTCTGATGGCTATCATATATGCTCAGCTCCTGAAGAAGTCCAGTGTAGATCTGTTCTTTACCCAGGTCTTCCTATGTCAGAGATGGGACAAACTGTGACTTGCAACAAAGATGTCGGTTTCATTTGCAACAACAAACAACAAGGGCCTAAGCAACAGTGTTTTGATTATGAGATTAGATTTCAATGCTGTGGGTGTCAAACACCTTCCACTACAGGGCCTACTACACCCTCAACGCCTTCCACTACAGTTCCAACCTTGACACCTTCAACTACAACCACCACTACACCTTCTACCACAACTGAAACAACAACAACAACATCTCAGCCAACTACAACTGCACCTTGTCCTGGTGGACATGATATGACATGTAGTTGGTCAGAATGGATCAATCTGGGAGAGCCAACCACAGGCCCAAATGGTGGAGATGATGAATCAATCCAGAAGATAATCTCTGATGGTTATCATATATGCTCAGCTCCTGAAGAAGTCCAGTGTAGATCTGTTCTTTACCCAGGTCTTCCTATGTCAGAGATGGGACAAACTGTGACTTGCAACAAAGATGTCGGTTTAATTTGCAACAACAAACAACAGGGGCTTCAGCAACAGTGTTTTGATTATGAGATTAGATTTCAATGCTGTGGGTGTCAAACCCGTTCTACTACAGGACCTACTACACCCTCAACGCCTTCCACTACAGTTCCAACCTTGACACCTTCAACTACAACCACCATTACACCTTCTACCACAACTGAAACAACAACAACATCTCAGCCAACTACAACTGCACCTTGTCCTGGTGGACATGATATGACATGTAGTTGGTCAGAATGGATCAATCTGGGAGAGCCAACCACAGGCCCAAATGGTGGAGATGATGAATCAATCCAGAAGATAATCTCTGATGGTTATCATATATGCTCAGCTCCTGAAGAAGTCCAGTGCAGATCTGTTCTTTACCCAGGTCTTCCTATGTCAGAGATGGGACAAACTGTGACTTGCAACAAAGATGTTGGTTTAATTTGCAACAACAAACAACAGGGGCTTCAGCAACAGTGTTTTGATTATGAGATTAGATTTCAATGCTGTGGGTGTCAAACCCGTTCTACTACAGGACCTACTACACCCTCAACGCCTTCCACTACAGTTCCAACCTTGACACCTTCAACTACAACCACCATTACACCTTCTACCACAACTGACACAACAACAACATCTCAGCCAACTACAACTGCACCTTGTCCTGGTGGACATGATATGACATGTGGTTGGTCAGAATGGATCAATCTGGGAGAGCCAACCACAGGCCCAAATGGTGGAGATGATGAATCAATCCAGAAGATAATATCTGATGGTTATCATATATGCTCAGCTCCTGAAGAAGTCCAGTGTAGATCTGTTCTTTACCCAGGTCTTCCTATGTCAGAGATGGGACAAACTGTGACTTGCAACAAAGATGTCGGTTTAATTTGCAACAACAAACAACAGGGGCTTCAGCAACAGTGTTTTGATTATGAGATTAGATTTCAATGCTGTGGGTGTCAAACACCTTCCACTACAGGGCCTACTACACCCTCAACGCCTTCCACTACAGTTCCAACCTTGACACCTTCAACTACAACCACCATTACACCTTCTACCACAACTGAAACAACAACAACATCTCAGCCAACTACAACTGCACCTTGTCCTGGTGGACATGATATGACATGTAGTTGGTCAGAATGGATCAATCTGGGAGAGCCAACCACAGGCCCAAATGGTGGAGATGATGAATCAATCCAGAAGATAATCTCTGATGGCTATCATATATGCTCAGCTCCTGAAGAAGTCCAGTGTAGATCTGTTCTTTACCCAGGTCTTCCTATGTCAGAGATGGGACAAACTGTGACTTGCAACAAAGATGTCGGTTTCATTTGCAACAACAAACAACAAGGGCCTAAGCAACAGTGTTTTGATTATGAGATTAGATTTCAATGCTGTGGGTGTCAAACACCTTCCACTACAGGGCCTACTACACCCTCAACGCCTTCCACTACAGTTCCAACCTTGACACCTTCAACTACAACCACCACTACACCTTCTACCACAACTGAAACAACAACAACATCTCAGCCAACTACAACTGCACCTTGTCCTGGTGGACATGATATGACATGTAGTTGGTCAGAATGGATCAATCTGGGAGAGCCAACCACAGGCTTAAATGGTGGAGATGATGAATCAATCCAGAAGATAATCTCTGATGGTTATCATATATGCTCAGCTCCTGAAGAAGTCCAGTGTAGATCTGTTCTTTACCCAGGTCTTCCTATGTCAGAGATGGGACAAACTGTGACTTGCAACAAAGATGTCGGTTTAATTTGCAACAACAAACAACAAGGGCCTAAGCAACAGTGTTTTGATTATGAGATTAGATTTCAATGCTGTGGGTGTCAAACACCTTCCACTACAGGGCCTACTACACCCTCAACGCCTTCCACTACAGTTCCAACCTTGACACCTTCAACTACAACCACCACTACACCTTCTACCACAACTGAAACAACAACAACAACTCAGCCAATCACAACTGCACCTTGTCCTGGTGGACATGATATGACATGTAGTTGGTCAGAATGGATCAATCTGGGAGAGCCAACCACAGGCCCAAATGGTGGAGATGATGAATCAATCCAGAAGATAATCTCTGATGGCTATCATATATGCTCAGCTCCTGAAGAAGTCCAGTGTAGATCTGTTCTTTACCCAGGTCTTCCTATGTCAGAGATGGGACAAACTGTGACTTGCAACAAAGATGTCGGTTTCATTTGCAACAACAAACAACAAGGGCCTAAGCAACAGTGTTTTGATTATGAGATTAGATTTCAATGCTGTGGGTGTCAAACACCTTCCACTACAGGGCCTACTACACCCTCAACGCCTTCCACTACAGTTCCAACCTTGACACCTTCAACTACAACCACCACTACACCTTCTACCACAACTGAAACAACAACATCTCAGCCAACTACAACTGCACCTTGTCCTGGTGGACATGATATGACATGTAGTTGGTCAGAATGGATCAATCTGAGAGAGCCAACCACAGGCCCAAATGGTGGAGATGATGAATCAATCCAGAAGATAATCTCTGATGGTTATCATATATGCTCAGCTCCTGAAGAAGTCCAGTGCAGATCTGTTCTTTACCCAGGTCTTCCTATGTCAGAGATGGGACAAACTGTGACTTGCAACAAAGATGTTGGTTTAATTTGCAACAACAAACAACAGGGGCTTCAGCAACAGTGTTTTGATTATGAGATTAGATTTCAATGCTGTGGGTGTCAAACCCGTTCTACTACAGGACCTACTACACCCTCAACGCCTTCCACTACAGTTCCAACCTTGACACCTTCAACTACAACCACCATTACACCTTCTACCACAACTGAAACAACAACAACATCTCAGCCAACTACAACTGCACCTTGTCCTGGTGGACATGATATGACATGTAGTTGGTCAGAATGGATCAATCTGGGAGAGCCAACCACAGGCCCAAATGGTGGAGATGATGAATCAATCCAGAAGATAATCTCTGATGGCTATCATATATGCTCAGCTCCTGAAGAAGTCCAGTGTAGATCTGTTCTTTACCCAGGTCTTCCTATGTCAGAGATGGGACAAACTGTGACTTGCAACAAAGATGTCGGTTTAATTTGCAACAACAACAACAAACAACAAGGGCCTAAGCAACAGTGTTTTGATTATGAGATTAGATTTCAATGCTGTGGGTGTCAAACACCTTCCACTACAGGGCCTACTACACCCTCAACGCCTTCCACTACAGTTCCAACCTTGACACCTTCAACTACAACCACCACTACACCTTCTACCACAACTGAAACAACAACATCTCAGCCAACTACAACTGCACCTTGTCCTGGTGGACATGATATGACATGTAGTTGGTCAGAATGGATCAATCTGGGAGAGCCAACCACAGGCCCAAATGGTGGAGATGATGAATCAATCCAGAAGATAATCTCTGATGGTTATCATATATGCTCAGCTCCTGAAGAAGTCCAGTGCAGATCTGTTCTTTACCCAGGTCTTCCTATGTCAGAGATGGGACAAACTGTGACTTGCAACAAAGATGTTGGTTTAATTTGCAACAACAAACAACAGGGGCTTCAGCAACAGTGTTTTGATTATGAGATTAGATTTCAATGCTGTGGGTGTCAAACACCTTCCACTACAGGACCTACTACACCCTCAATGCCTTCCACCACAGTAACAACTACAACACCCTCAACTCCTTCCACCACAGTAACAACTAGGACACCCTCAACTCCTTCCACCACAGTAACAACTACAACACCCTCAACTCCCTCCACCACAGTAACAACTAGGACACCTTCAACTCCTTCAACTACAGGAACAACTACAAAACCATCTACTCCTTCCACCACAGTAACAACTACAACACCCTCAACTACTTCAACTACAGGAACAACTACAAAACCATCTACTCCTTCCACCACAGTAACAACTACAACACCCTCAACTCCTTCAACTACAGTACCAACTGCAACACCATCAACTCCATCAACAACAGTTACAGCCTCAACACATTTGAGTACAACAACTACTACACCTTCTACCACAACCGAAACAACAACAACTCAGCCAATCACAACTGCACCTTGCCCTGGTGGACATGATATGACATGTGGTTGGTCAGAATGGATCAACCTTGGCAAGCCCACATCAGGCCCCAATGGTGGAGATGATGAATCAATCCAGAAGATAATCTCTGATGGCTATCATATATGCTCAGCTCCTGAAGAAGTCCAGTGTAGATCTGTTCTTCACCCAGGTCTTCCTATGTCAGAGATGGGACAAACTGTGACTTGCAACAAAGATGTCGGTTTCATTTGCAACAACAAACAACAAGGCCTTACGCAACAGTGTTTTGATTATGAGATTAGATTGAAATGCTGTGGCTGTCAAACACCTTCCACTACAGGACCTACTACACCCTCAACGCCTTCCACCACAGTAACAACTACAACACCCTCAACTCCTTCCACCACAGTAACAACTAGGACACCCTCAACTACTTCAACTACAGGAACAACTGCAAAACCATCTACTCCTTCCACTACAGTAACAACTACAACACCCTCAACTCCTTCCACCACAGTAACAACTACAACACCCTCAACTCCTTCCACTACAGTAACAACTACAACACCTTCAATGCCTTCCACCACAGTAACAACTACAACACCTTCAATGCCTTCCACCACAGTAACAACTACAACACCCTCAACTACTTCCACCACAGTACCAACTGCAACACCATCAACTCCATCAACAACAGTTACAGCCTCAACACATTTGAGTACAACCACCACTACACCTTCTACCACAACTGAAACAACAACAACAACTCAGCCAATCACAACTGCACCTTGTCCTGGTGGACATGATATGACATGTAGTTGGTCAGAATGGATCAATCTGGGAGAGCCAACCACAGGCCCAAATGGTGGAGATGATGAATCAATCCAGAAGATAATCTCTGATGGCTATCATATATGCTCAGCTCCTGAAGAAGTCCAGTGTAGATCTGTTCTTTACCCAGGTCTTCCTATGTCAGAGATGGGACAAACTGTGACTTGCAACAAAGATGTCGGTTTCATTTGCAACAACAAACAACAGGGGCTTCAGCAACAGTGTTTTGATTATGAGATTAGATTTCAATGCTGTGGGTGTCAAACACCTTCCACTACAGGGCCTACTACACCCTCAATGCCTTCCACCACAGTAACAACTACAACACCCTCAACTCCCTCCACCACAGTAACAACTACAAAGCCCTCAACTCCCTCCACCACAGTAACAACTAGGACACCCTCAACTCCTTCAACCACAGTAACAACTACAACACCCTCAACTCCTTCCACCACAGTAACAACTACAACACCATCAACTCCTTCCACTACAGTACCAACTACAACACCCTCAACTCCTTCAACCACAGTAACAACTACAACACCCTCAACTCCTTCAACCACAGTAACAACTACAACACCCTCAACTCCTTCAACCACAGTAACAACTACAACACCCTCAACTCCTTCCACTACAGTAACAACTACAACACCATCAACTTCATCAACAACAGTTACAGCCTCAACACATTTGAGTACAACAACTACTACACCTTCTACCACAACCGAAACAACAACAACTCAGCCAATCACAACTGCACCTTGCCCTGGTGGACATGATATGACATGTGGTTGGTCACAATGGATCAACCTTGGCAAGCCCACATCAGGCCCCAATGGTGGAGATGATGAATCAATCCAGAATATAATCTCTGCTGGTTATCATATATGCTCAGCTCCTGAAGAAGTCCAGTGTAGATCTATTCTTTACCCAGGTCTTCCTATGTCAGAGATGGGACAAACTGTGACTTGCAACAAAGATGTCGGTTTCATTTGCAACAACAAACAACAAGGGCCTAAGCAACAGTGTTTTGATTATGAGATTAGATTGAAATGCTGTGGGTGTCAAACACCTTCCACTACAGGGCCTACTACACCCTCAACGCCTTCCACCACAGTAACAACTATAACACCCTCAACTTCCTCCACCACAGTAACAACTATAACACCCTCAACTTCCTCCACCACAGTAACAACTACTACATCCTCAACTCCCTCCACCACAGTAACAACTACAACACCCTTAACTCCCTCCACCACAGTAACAACTACAACACCCTCAACTCCCTCCACCACAGTAACAACTACAACACCCTCAACTCCCTCCACCACAGTAACAACTACAACACCCTCAACTCCCTCCACCACAGTAACAACTACAACACCCTCAACTCCCTCCACCACAGTAACAACTACAACACCCTCAACTCCCTCCACCACAGTAACAACTACAACACCCTCAACTCCTTCCACCACAGTAACAACTACAACACCCTCAACTCCCTCCACCACAGTAACAACTACAACACCCTCAACTCCTTCCACTACGATAATTGTAGTTACAGAAGAAACCACTCAACCAATTACTTCGCCACAACACTGCCTTTGTTTTCATAATGGTACAAAGTTTCCTGCTGGTAAGTACTGTTCATAATAACGGATTTATCTTGAAAATGGGTCATATCAATTTAAGACACCAGTGTGATATCACAAAAAAACACAAATATAAAATAAAGGCCTATACTACATAAGATATTTGTTCGAAACCCATTTCTCTACTTAAATTGTATACTTAGCATGTACCAAACAATCCTATACTAAATTGTTATAGAACAATAAACTCTCTTTTCGAAATCTCTTTTTTCTTTTTTTAAATGTGGTGGGTGGAAATCTCATTTATTAAACAAAAATACCGTGTTTGATTTTAATTCAACTACTGTATAGTATTCTGTAGGCCTATCCTTTAATTAAAGAGGACACATTTTATATACGGAATAATTTGGTTTCTTCTTTTCTAAGTTGATATTGTTTTGTTTTTCTACATAATACGCTAAAGTAAAAGCCATCTTAGTGTTTGCATGGTGATGGCATTGCATTTCATATTGAGGTAATCCAAAAGTAACTGAAAGTAATCAGGTGCATAACTTTTATATTGTGATACTTAAATAAGGTTATTAATTAAACTTGTTTAACATTTAACTAATCATTTTAAGAGAATATAGATTTAGGGTAACCCTCCGAACTCTGGATATAACATTATGTGATATGTGATAGACTCCTTTTCACGAACCTGCTGTGTCTCATTTTCAGGCTCCATAGTATACAATGAGACAGACCATGATGGCTACTGTTACACAGGGTACTGCAATGAGAGCTGCCACATAGTAACCACAGGACAGCGATGTCCTCTTGAGATTTGTTTAACACTTCAAGGTCCAAAACAGGTAATTCTTGATTTATATTCCATACAAATGTTTTTTTTTTTTTACGCAATTGTTCAACCCACAAACTGTCAGATAATGAAATGTGCATTATTAATTGTTATACCTACTTTTCTGACAAATTATTTAGGTTTAGTCAGCACAACTATTGGTTAAGTTTAGCAAGAAAATGTGATTTTAGTTTAAATAACAAGGTCAACATCCTTTGTTTTGTGTCCCATCCCTCCCTTATGGAGCTTTCTAGCTGATATACTATGCAACTGATTCTGCTCCTGTCATAATTGCTACTGTTGCTATACGTGTTGTCTTCTTTTATTCAATCCTTTGTTGAAAAAACGTGCTGAAACATGATCAGTACTGCCTTCTAGTTGATTTAGCAGGCCCCTTCTGACCTGCATTTATAAAGCTGAAGACCACTGATAGCACTCATTTAATCGGCTGATAAATGGAACCAGGTGTTAAATCCTTTGATTGTTATTAATGCATTAAAACCACTCATCTCTATTTTTAAACACCAATCTTTAATTATCCTCACAGAATGGTGAAAGTTGGATTGTGAGTAACTGTACAAATGGAACGTGTATAAATGGCAGAGAGCACATGGGCCACAGACCGTGCCCTACTCAAAAGCCTGTCGTCTGTGCAAATAACTTCGCTGCAATTCAAGTGCAGGATGATGATGGATGCTGCTCCCACTATGAATGTCAATGTAAGTCTGATCTGCTTAAATGTTGCTTGTTGAAAAATCCTAAGGTTGAACATGTAAAAGCATTTTACCTAAAACAATCTTTTATCTTCTTTTCTTTCTCTATATTCTTGACTTATATTGTTTCAACAATTGCTTGAAATGTCATAAAAAAACTGAAATATATGTTTTGTATGAAGGTATCTGCTACGGGTGGGGAGATCCCCATTATGTCACATTCGATGGAACCTACTATGGTTTTCAAGGCAACTGTTCCTACTGGCTGGTGAAAGAGATCTCGCCCAAATATAACTTCAGTGTTATGATTGACAACTACTACTGTGGAGCAGCTGATGGCTTGTCCTGTCCTAAGTCCATCACAGTCTTCTACAAAAGCTACAAGATCTTTATAACGCAAAATGATATAAATGGCACGTTTAAAAATCAGGTAATTCAAAGCAACTATTAACTTTCTTCCTTTAAATTTAAACTAGTGATTATCTTAGCTTCAACCCTTTTGTGTTCCCTTCATCGCATTGTGTGAACCTTACAAAACTGATTTGATCCTTATTTGTATAATTATCAAATGCATTGACCCTTACAAATTGTAATTTCTGCTTTTTGTTTTAGATTTCCGTCAATGGCAGGCATGTAAGTCCTGCATACCAGAACGGTGACTTCCGTATGACCACCACTGGTATTGATACAGTGCTTACCATCCCTCAAATCCATGCCAAGATCACCTTCTCAGGGCTCATATTCAGCATCACCCTGCCCTATAGTCAATTTGGCAACAACACCTGGGGACAGTGTGGTAAGTCCTGCAGTTTAAATAAAAAGCATCTCAATGTATGTAGACTTTGGAAAGCAGTCGATGATGGACATGCTTCATATCTACAGAGGTTGGATATTTTGTGAAGTTAATACTTACAAAAGATGCAATCTATTGTACCTATTCGACACATTCTGCCATCAGTGTGATTGATAATGATGAGGGTTTCTCCAGGCACATGTGATAACAACCGGACAGATGACTGCATGTTGCCCAGTGGCAAAATTGATTCTTCATGTCCTAATATGGCACATGAGTGGCATACTAACGACAGCAGCTGTAAACAACCTCCTCCCACACCAACAACAACTCCTACGCCCGATACCTGCAATACAAGCATCTGTGAGATCATCAAGAGCAGGTAGGAGGAAAATAGGGAAACATGTCATCTATAACTCAAATCGTCAGTAACATCAAGTTTAACATTGCTTAGTTTTAATAATACATTTCAGCTGATGATTTTGAGATTTTACTAATTATTTCACTTACTGTAGGTAAGTATAGTCTTTATATGAAAGAACACTGATAACTGACTCTTCTGTCAATGTATTCAACTTGTGTCCATTCTGACTATAAATCTCATACTCCCCAGTGTATTTGAAGCTTGCCACAAGGTCGTTGACTACCTTCCTTTTGTGGAGGCCTGTGAGTTTGACGTTTGTCACATGCACATTAATAACGTTGGCTGCATCAGCTTACAAACTTACGCTGAAGTCTGTGCTTTGGCTGGAATATGCATCAACTGGAGGAATTCCACCAAAGGACTCTGTGGTATGCAACCAGATGATGTTATACAGGCACTATAACAATATCACAGCAATGACCTCAACTTAAAAAAGCATGATGTTTATTCTGTCTTCGTCTCTTATAGTATATACATGTCCAAGTCCAAAAGTGTATCAGCACTGTGGCCCTTCGGTGGAGCCTACCTGTGATTGCTGGTACAGACATTCACCAACTCTCATCGTCAATCCATCAACATTCATTTATGCTTTGACTCACATACAACATTGGCTCTCACACAATATGTTGTTGTTTCTGCAGGTACAACCAGAAGTTTATCGATACTGTCAATGAGTTCAGTGAGATGACTAGTGTTGAGATGGAGGGTTGCTTCTGCCCCAAAGGCACCAACCTCCTCTCCTCCGCCTCTGATGAATGTGTTCCTACCTGTGGTAAGGGCAGATGGCACTTCTCTATGGCAAAAGCAGTAAAGGCAATCTCGCATTCATTAATGGACTGTATTTTTATCTGACTGTTTTTGTAACAGTTTGTGTGCTGTAGAACAATTAGGATGTAAGGGAAACTAACTTTAAGGCCCTTCTGCCAGGTTTGCACCTGATCTGAGACCACCTGTGTTTCTTATCCTTATCTTTCACCTTAAAGTCTTTTACCATTACTTTGCCGTACTGTCGCTGACATTCTAAAGGTATTCTGAAATGTATTAAAAATGTCTTTCATTTTCCACTGTATCACAGAACTGCCAACTTGTTCTTATAATTAATACCCTGCACACATATACAGGTTTTAGCTTAACCTATTTTGGTTTATGCAAACCAACATATTCAACTTAAAGTGAAGGTAGACAAGCAGTGATTTAGCACAGTAAAGCTGTGATATTAGATCTTAGCCAATTTAAATACGGAGCATGCAAACTGAAAGCAACCTGCGTAGGCAATGGGTTAAGTTTGAATGGTTAATCATCATTTGGAATATGAAGTTTGTACATAAGATTAGGAAAGATATGAGGATTTTGAACACACTCAGTTTTGACTAGCCTGAGGATGGCTGGCCAAACCACAAATTATTGTAAATTACTTTATTCATTCTATTTCCCTCCTAACAGAAATATGTCGACTGGCAAATGGAAAATGGACAGAGGTAAATGTTTTTTCAACAATGCCAGACCCTTTTTCTTAACCCTTTGATAATACCATGCCTCCTGCCACACTTACCTTAACATTGTGTCCTCAGGCCAATTCCACGTGGACAGAAGACTGTAAAGAGTGTATTTGTGAGGAGGACACACTGAAGGTCACATGCACTCATGTGTCCTGTCCAGCACCGCCACCTGTCAGCTGTGAGGAGCCGGGTCAGGTTAAAGTCAATAATACTGTTGGCTGCTGTCAAGAGGATAAGTGTGGTAAGTGAGCAGCAAGAAGTGTATTCACGTTGTGTTTGTCCCTTTTAAGTTGAACCCAAGGATGGCCTATCAGATGAGTAATGTAGGCAGCTAGAACTCTGTGCAGGAAGGAACCATGTGTGTCAGACAGATCCAAAAAACAAAACATCTGATGCTTGCAGAATGTATGCAGTGGTTGTTCCAAATGAGCTGGAGTCAGGATGAACTAAGGTTTCACTAGATCATGTATGGCAGGGTGTTTGCAGGAAGCCATGTTCAAAGTGAGATAACAACCTAGAGAATTGTACGTATGTTAATTGTAATGGAGGACCAAAAATGACCAAACCATGGTATTTTCTTGCCTGTTCTGATTAGGATAAGGATGTTTTTAATGTATATAGTAAAGATGAATCTTATGTTATTGGCTTGTGTTTAAACAGAGTGCGATGTGAAGCAGTGCCCTGGGGTTGTGCCGTCCTGTCCTGTGGGTTCTACTCTCCACACCACTGTGGGAGTCTGCTGTTTGAACCACTTCTGCAGTGAGTGTGCCATGCTGGTCCATCCTTTCACTCAATAACCAGGTTGATTTTCACTAGGATTTTTATATCAGAATTCATCTGAATTTAATTGGTATTTTTCCTTCACAGAGCCCATTCCGGATGTGTGTGTTTTCAACAACCTTGAATATCAGGTGAGATCCCACATGTGAATATGATGTGATGGGAATAGAATACATCATCATCAAAGATTACAAGATGGCTTCCTTTAAAACATAGAGGACTGTGTCATCTTTCTATAGCCATATGTCATCAAGAACATCTTTAGACCTACTAAGTAGTAGTAGTGTGGGACATGTATGGTGGTTGTTGCTGTACTGCCTGCATACTGATGTTTAGCAAAAATACAAAAATGATGCAACATTTAGACAAATCTAGGTGGGAATTGGTGTTTCTTATATGTGGGATCTGTGGGACAAGGTTTCTTTGCCTCATGTTCCAGTATTTAAAGTATATTAAATAACAAAAAGTGCATTATTTCTAAACACATGTGCACTAGATCTGTTGAAACCAAATACATAGAAAGCCACTGGACATTTGGATTCAGTGAATCTATGAATGTCTTGCATCATAATGCAGTCTCTCTTACAAATGCAAAGTTGAATTCATAAGCCATACAATATCAACGAGGAGCTGGTTCATGTTTGAGTCCTCTTTCCATCGATACAGAGGTCAATTGTGAACATATGTTAGTGGACACTTTTCCAGTTACACTTATAAAACACAACCCAATAACACAGTAATTAACTTTGGAGGTATGAACGTATAACTATATGTGTATTACTGAGGACTGCATAAGAGAGGAAATGTCTTCTTGCTGACTGCTCACCCTGTCTACCCAGGTTGGAGACTCAGTGCCCATGAAGTCATGTGAGAAGTGCATATGTAGTTCCCGGACAAATGCCAGCAGCCTCCAGAACATCATAGACTGTCAGCCATTACCATGTGACACACACTGCTCTGTGGTAAGATATTCAACATCCAATCAATTGTTGACATGTGTACTTGCCAGACCATACAGTTATGTGTTTCCTTAACTGACTTAAGTCATAGTTTTGGTAAACTTTATTTCGGGGTGATGGAATCTGGTGCCCTCTTGGATCAGCAGCCCTCCATCCGAACCAGAAGTCCTTTTTTGACCCACATCGCTCCCTCATACATATTTGTTTTTAAGTTCATGCTACCTAGGTTCTTTATGACATTAATTATGATAATTAATCACATTCTATCCAAGAAACATTCATCTTCTTTTTTCAATTGTAAAGGAAAGCACTGTTTGTCATAAAAAAAACACATTTTTCAATCCACATTAAAACTGAGCTCTGAAGTGGACTTTTCTGTTGTGCTTTGATTGTAGGTTCAATCATAACATATGGGATAAGCAAAAGAAAAACAGAACACTTCCACATTTGATTTAAAACTATCTATTTAGTACCCAAAGTGAATCCAGTTATAGGCCATTTTCATGACTTGTGCTAGGACACACGTTTGTCTTCACACCAGCCACACACATAGACAACAGGTTAAGTGTTCTGTATTTGCCCAAGCTTTAGTTTTGATCTTTACTGCCACTGTAAATATTTAATACAACTTATTAAAAAGTAAGCAATACTGTAAACCAAACAGACTACTAATGTCAAGCCTGAATCCAATTTGTGATGTTCTCATACTGCACATGTTCAGAAGTTAATATCAGATCTCCAGCAGCTTGTATTATGCTAATTGTTTTTCTGTGCTAAATGAGTCTTTGTGTTTCTGTTCAGGGTTATGAGTACCAGGTCAGCCCTGCTCAGTGCTGTGGACAGTGTGTCCAGGTCGGCTGCATTGTCGCATTGCCCAACTCCACACACGCATTAAAGGTTAGTATATGTGTGTGTGCATGCACTGTTCGTTTGGAGAGAGAGAGAGAGAGAGAGAGAGAGAGAGAGAGAGAGAGAGAGAGAGAGAGAGAGAGAGAGAGAGAGAGAGAGAGAGAGAGAGAAAGAGGTTAGATGTGATGATTCTATGACGTCAATCAACATTCATTTTTTGTTTGCTTTTGGTTAATGCCAACCATGCTGTGTTGGAACATATTTAGCAATACATTTAGCGTAAAAACTTAAATAAACATACATAACCCCTGGTGTGACATCTCTTCAAGTTTTTCCGGTCATGCCACTAGGTCTTTATTCCATGACACACACACATTGAAAGAAAGAGCAGACAAGGCAACATTCCACATATGAAGATCAGATGACTCTGATGAAGCACTCTTTGAGAGACTGTTTTACAAAAAATACAATTATTTGATTTTATTCCTTAGCCTGGAACCCTTTGGAGTCCTGCTGGGAACCCCTGTGTGAAGTTTGAGTGTGTGAAGATTGCTAATCACTTCATTACTGTTGAGGCCAAGACCATGTGTCCTCCCTACGACCCTGCAGAATGCATACCGGTAACTGACACACACACACACACACACACACACACACACACACACACACACACACACACACACACACACACACACACACACACACACACACACACACACACACACACACACACACACACACACACACACACACACACACACTATGAGAAGCAGCAGTATGCTGATGTGATCTGATTGTGTGTCTCCTGCAGGGAACTGAGACCGTGGCTCCAGACGGATGCTGCCACACCTGTATGTATTGCTTTCATGAACCTGCACACTATTTAGCAGGCTCTCCTTTCTCTCTGCTTCACATGGATGTCAACTTATGATTTAACCATTCAGAAGCATCGTGATCAGCAGGCCATTCAACAACTAGTTTTGGTATTGATCCAGGGCAGTTACCTGACAGCTAGGAGCTCACATAAGTACTCATGTTGAACAAAGAGATTTGTCTTACTAAAAGAAAATACTTTTCAACCATGACCTGCTACCATCAAAAGCAGGAGAAGTAGCCTCCAGGGTATACAGCTGCTATGAATGTGTAAACCAGGTCAGATAGAAAGATCTCATCCCTCCTCTGTCCTGCCTCAGGTATTCACAGAGGTCAGCCCTGCGGTGTGAGCAGCACTGCTGTGATCGTGGAGAGCCAGGGCTGCCACTCCAAAGACGTTGTCAATGTCACGTCCTGCGCCGGAGCATGTGGAACCTTCACCTTGTAAGTCCCCCTCATGTCATTGTCCCAGGACGGGTACAAATAATAATACTTATTTTTTCAATTGCTAAAACACGTTTTTTGGAAACTTATTTTTTCAAAACACTAAACACAATTCAATCAGGAGAGACGTTGATGTATGGAATACATATTTATTACCGGGACACATAATATGAATGTAATAATGATTGCCACAATTATAACAGGAGAATGGCATGGTGTTTGGCGATTAAGCCCCAGTTTGCAGGATAATCATTCAGGAGGGGGAAGAACCGCTCCGATGAAACCCCCCCGGGGTCTAGACACTGGTGGTGGTGATAAGTAGGTGGGAACGGACTGAAGGGAGAAGGTTTAGCTTGGTCCTGAAGGAGACGGGAGGCGAAAGGGGTGGAGGAGGGTTGCGTTTTGTCACCTGAAATGACAGCTGGCAGAGGGAAGAGCAGATATAAAGGGATTAGCGGGAGCTATGATAGGCTTGTGAGAATGGAGAGAGGAGAGATTGGTTAGCTGGGGAGAGACGCCCCCGATCACTTAATGAGGGAGGAGAGAGGAGAGATTGGTTAGCTGGGGAGAGACGCCCCCGATCACTTAATGAGGGAGGAGAGAGGAGAGATTGGTTAGCTGGGGAGAGACGCCCCCGATCACTTAATGAGGAAGGAGAGTGTAATGAGGTGACGTGTAATCTGAATGAAGAGCTTGGTCTTCCTGATTGAATTTACGCTGAGCTTCATTTCAGGGACTGCAGAAGCATTAGTTTTTAGTTTTTCAGGATGGAACAATTTCACACACAGATATAGGGAGGCTAGACCTATACAATTGATTTATTATGGTTTATAATTTAATGTCAAGACGAAGAAGAAGAAGAAAAAGATGGCTGAACTGTTCAGTGTCAATCCTGTGGAGATGGAGGTTATAAATCTCCAAAATCATGTTCAGCTTAAGTCTCAGCAAAACTCACAACATTTCTGGAGCCTTGTAGACCCAGAGAACATTCACCAAGCAGCACTGAACATGTCTGCATTATTTGGCTCTTCATGCCTTTGTGAAGCAGCTTTTTCTGACATGAATGAAATCTAAATAAAGAACAAGACTGACTGATGAACATTTAAATGACTCTATTAGAGTGAACCTAAGTGGGTCCAGCAGACCCCTCTATGGTGGACTCCATGCAGCGCCAGTCATCTCACTAACTGTGAAAA